AAAAAAAAAAAGCTTTAAGAAGAAAAACACCCACAATCCAATAAAAAATAGATAATGATTATAAATAAGTCACAGAAAAAGAAATACAAATGTCTCTTAAATATGTGAAAAGATGCTCAACCTCACTTAGAATTAAAATTACAATGATTGGGGCGCCTAGGTGGCTCAGTTGGTAAGCATCTGCCTTCGGCTCAGGTCATGATCCCAGGGTGCTGGGATGGAGCCCCGCATCAGGCTCCCTGCTCAGCAGGGAGTCCGCTTCTCCCTCTGCCCCTGCTTGTGTTCCCTCTCTCACTGTGTCTCTCTCTGTCAAATAAATAAATAAAATCTTTAAAAAAAAATTACAATGATTAACCTTGTTGAAGGATAATTTGGCAATATCAACCAAAATTCAGAATACACACACCTTTTGTCCCAGCAATTCTACTCTTTGGAATTAGTCCTATATATAAATTCACAAATTCACAATGATCCACTACAGTGATATTCATTGCCTCATCTTTTGTAACAGTATAACAGAAAAACCTAAATGCCCCTTATTAGAGGCATGGTTAAGTAAATATGGCACAATTATATAATGGAATACTCTTAAGTTATTAAAAAAAATGCATCTGTAATTACTGATGTGGACTAATGCAGAGAGTATCTCTAAAAAAATATATGTATATGAATGAAATAACTTTGGAAGAAAGAAGTAAACCTACTTTTAAAAATTTAATAAGCAAAGGGCACCTGGGTGGCTTAGTTGGTTAAGGGGCTGACTCTTGATTTTGGCTCAGGTCATGATCTCAGGGTTATGAGGCTGAACCTGTCCTTGTGGAGTCTGCTTGTCCCTCTCCCTCCCCCTACCCCTCCCCCTGCTCATGCTCTCTTGCACGCATGCTCTAAAATAAATAAAATTTTTAAGAAAAATTTAATAAAGAAGTCAGTAGCATAATATATCTAATTTAGGCAGATGTTAAATGTGGAGTGAATGGGCTCAGGAAAAAGACACCAAAACCAGCCTTGGTTTAAAAAAAATGAAAGCAGCAACTGTTGAGAGTGGTTTTACTGTTTGTGTTCCTAATCTGACCATTCCTAAGGAAAGGCATTTTGTTCCTTTAATGGAACATCATTGATTCATTATTTATTCCCCAAAATTTGAGTGCCAATTGTATCTATATTTTGAATTAAGAAAGCATTTCCTCTCAGAAACTATGACTTCATACTCACCAAGGTAATATATCCTGTCTGAATGAGGCCCATCTGGATCATTCCTCTTCACAAACATAAAATCGTGTGGTGCCTTAGCCATCATGTAGCCATGATATTTTCTGGTATCAGCAAGGAGCTTTTTAAGCTGACTCCAGGAATATCGCTCAACATAAAATGGCTCCAATTTAGGCCGATCCTGTGATTCAATATTCTCCTCACAATCTGCAGTTTCAAAGATCTCAACACCCAGCTGTTCTGTTTCCATCGCTGCTGCCATGTTGCATTTTCCTAGAAACATAAGGCACATGAAGTTGTTCACAGGCCTGCCTTCTTTTATATTAATGGAATGACAGTCTGATAGTGGTCCCCCCACCAAAAAGGCAAGGAAAAAAATGCTCTTCAGCATAGTTGCAACGAAACCTAGTAAGAAAAGTAATAGCTCCACCTTCTCAGTGTTCAGTTTAAAAATGAGATTTTTTAAAAAATTGAGGTCATGTCTGTTTCACTGTGACTATAAATCCCTTTAGGAACTTTTGTAAAAGGATGTCCTTACCTATCTCTTGCCAAAATTCCTTTTTTCTTTCCCACACTGGAAGGAAACAGGCCATATGCCAGTTTGCTCCATCCAAGAGCATGTCAATAGTGAATCTAAATGTGCTAAGGGAGTTAAGTGTTTTTGCACTTAAAAAAGTAACACATTTGATAAATGTGGACTTCAGTTAACAGAAATAATCACGACCAATTAGAACAGTAATAAAATTGCAGCAAACAATGTACTTGTAATAAACTTCCCAGGGCACTTACCAAGATAATATAAATACTGTTTCCGTTTAAGTGGAACTCCAAACAATAAAGGACTTAACTGGCTGGTACATTTTTCTTTGTCTTCTTGCCTAGACATCACTATCTTATGATCACTTTTGGTGACTATAAGGAATTTATGTAACTATTATTGCAAATTATATAACTTTTACTCTCATGATTAAATGGGAGAAAAAAGATACTATCTTCAAGCAGCTTTAATGAGGTGAAGTAGTTTATGCAAAAAGCATTTAATGTTTGTACTATTAATATTCTGACAAAAATCTGAACCCAAGTTTGCAAATTTTCCAGTTCAACCCCAAAACAGTGTTAATATTTCATCTACTAATGATATTTCTTTTCATTTTACAAATTCAGAAGGGGATGTATTTTCCTTTATCTATTTCAATATTTAAACAATATTTCAATATTTAAAGCAGTGATGTATCAGAAAAAATAAGAAGTGTTATAACAAGCCATTGTGTGATATTCTGCCATGCATTATTCATGAAACTATCAAAAAGAAGCAACATAAACAAAAATTTTGGAGCAACCTGTGGATTTGGGAGATAAACAGATTATATTTATGTAACTACCTCTAGAACAACAATCAATGAATGGTTGTGTATTTAATACGATGTCTTTTTTTAAAGCTCAATTTCCCAGGTTAACAAGAGTCCAAGGTAACTACCAACCGCAGAGAAAAAGTAATTAGCAGGCGTGGGTTGTGAATTAGTCCACCAGGCAAGCATTATGGCATGCAAAATGAAATGAACTGTGTGGCCAGGATAGTGTGTCTTTTTTTATGGTACAGTGAACTGTACTATCATTTTCAGTGTAACAGTAGCAAAAGCGACCAGAAAACCCATTCAAGAATTTATCAGGTATCCAACCTGTAACATTACTACAATGGGGCTTTTACCTCCAAGGACCAAAATCCAAACAGCTCAGCAGAGAAAGTCATTTAGCTCAACTGCTACTTAGCACACTGATAGTAAGTGGCAGTATATGAGAGTGGAGACTGCCCATCTAAAAGCTAGTGGGAGGCCTATTTTCTATCAAATATGTCAGTGGATCTAGCTTGATTTCTAAGAGTTAGGGACAAGTGAGAGAAAAAGCTACACAAACCATGCTCATTATCCTCAACTCCCCAATTTTTAAATTTGGAACTTCATGTCCAAACCACTGCTCACAAGAATAAGGCTAGGGAATAAAACCAGGAAGCTCAGCAGGCAGATTTCCCAAGGCTTACTGTCCAGGTTCTTGAGTCACCATTAACTTGACATCTCTCCTGTGTCAAAGTTGCATTAGCTCTCGCTCATTAATAGCGAATTACCTGCTATTCCTAAATTGTACTAGGCTTCTGGACTATTTCTGCCTCTCTACACACATACATACACACACAAATTTTTACAGTTCAAATGACATTCTACTACTGTTTATAGTAAATGAATATCCCACATTTTCTAGGATATTTTAGTAATTTACACAAATGTGTAACAAAATGATTTAAGTTCCAGATTTCCATAACACCGTATATTCAAATACATTCTCAAAGTTCTAATTTCAAAAATTAGAAAAGAGAATCCGCATACATTTTCAGCACATATATGTGCTGCATATACGTCACTGCCCCACCTACCTCCTCACTTAAGGCCCTTCCCTCGTGCCTACCTGATTGTATTTTCATCTGCTCAGATCTCTTCCACATTCAAAGAGATCTTTTTTCAAGTGACTCAACTTCAAGCATAGATCCCTCTGCTCATCTTGCTCTCTTCTCACAGGAGTCTTTCCTTTTCTCACCATCCAATCCTGCTCACCAGGATAACGAAATAAGATATAAGGCTGTTGATCATTATTGAAATGGATCATATGTGGCCAAAATGATTAAATCTAAAGTCCCAAATAGTATATAGAAATATTCTTCTTGGCGTAATATATAATTATATATAATGCCTGCATTATTTTGTATCTGTATTTTAGATTATCAAAATCGTAATTTTTAAAAAATTTCAGAAATGTATAGCCTAATTTTCTCAAAAGGATATCCTAACAACAGTGTAAATCCTGACATCTAGATGTACATTAAAAGGAAAATTATGGCAGAACTTTAGAAAGTATAAAAGGCACACAAATGTGAGGTTACTCAGGTGGCTATTGCAAATCCTCAAAAATGACAGATGATTACTAACATTTATTTCTGTGTGCTTGGTCCTGTTCCTGCTTTTACATTAATAATACATTTGTATTATTTTACATAATACATATTGAGCTGGTTGGAGACAGAGGAGACTTGTAGAACAACCAAAAAGAGTTATAAAACAGGCCATTTTTGTGGAAAGGGAACCAACTTGAATTTAATAATTTTTTCATAAGACCAAGAATGTGCTATCCATTTTAAGTGCATTCCACTTTTGCTCCTTTCCTTTCTAGCTGTAGTCTGAAAATAACTGAATTAGGTAACTTTTCCATAAAAGGAAGCATTAAGTTGTTCTGGAATTCCAGTAAAGAAAGAAAAAAAAAAAGAGGATCTGTGATTACACTTATTTCATTATCAGTTTTAATTCTGGGCTCTCATAGCCCAAGTAGGTGATGGAGAGAGATGTGGTGAGAAAAGCTCGGGGCAAATGGAGGGAAAACAGTGAAGTTATGCTAGTCTAAGAACAATGGACTAAGATGTCAAGACACGGTCCCATGCACTAAGCCCCTCACTCAGAGCAGAGCATCTTGGGGTAGAGAATAGCTTCAGAACTCCTGAATCTGGACGTACTCAACTGTCATTCTTATTTTTAACCCAAGAGCCAAAGAGTCGTCCAGTTGAACCCCGCACGCCTCACTGAAGCCTAGCTATTTCACTCTTCAGGGTCCACAGCTAGTTGAGAGGTTCATTATCACTGACTGGGACAAAGATCTTGAAAGCTATGAATGGGGAAGAAGAAGAGAGGTGTAATAGAGAATGTTGAGAATGGGGGGATGCCAAGTCTTAGAAGTCTCAGGAGAAAGTGTGTGAGGGCAGAGTTGGAAAGAGGGAAAGAAATGTATCTATCCTGCCCCGGGGTGTGTGAAATAGAATGAGAAGGGGCCGGTGAGCAGGGAGGGAATCGACCTAGAGTGAGGCAGGAGGAAGGAAAAGAACACCGGCTGGGAAATCAGAAAAATCTCAGTCCGAATCCGATCCGCCACAGTCGAACTTTAGGCAGATCCCTTCGCCTCTGCCGGCTTCCGTTTCCTCATCTGCAAGCCCGGGCAATACCCGGCTCCCAACCCCAGCGAGGCTCAATTAAGATAACGGACGTGGAAGTCCGGAGGCCAGCACCCAGCGCTCCGGGGGCGCCCAGTGAACGTTGGTGGAATCGGAATCTGAGAGCCTCGGCTTCCTCTTCCGGCAAGCGGGGCCTCGCCACCAGCTCTGACCCGCGCAGGGCGGCGCGCCCGGTAAACCGCAGAGCGGGCTAACCGGGAGAGCGCGCCGGGCGGCTCCCCGGTGAGGCGGAGCGGGCCCGCCGGGCTGGGGCCCAGGCCTCGCGGGCGAAGGGGAAGGAGAGGGGGCGGATACTGCACCTTCCCCCCTGGCCCCGCCCGGAGCGTCCCGACGCGTGCTACGGAGCGGGCCTGCGCCGCTTCATGCCGCGCCGCCTCCACTCCCGACCCCGCTGCGGCGGCTTCCTCGGCGACCGAGCCGGTGGTAACCCAGGCGGTGAACACGGCACTTAAAGGCGGTGGCGGCAGCGGCAGCGGCGGCAGCGCTCTGGCACTTCCGGTTCCTCGTGACCCGCCCTCCGACCAGCGACGGCTCAGCGGGGCCAAGAAGGGCGCCGCTCCCTGCTGGGTGGGGTGCGTTGCCACAGTGCAATCTAGTGGCCGGAGGAACAAACCGGGCGCCGGACGGGGGACAGATGTAATCCAGAAACAGGCAGCGACTTGCTAGAAGTCACAGGACGCACTGTGGCGCGTCTCTGCTTATTCTTTTTTTTCATTCAACAAATATATATTGAGTGCCTGCTATGTGCCAGGTAGAGTTGTAGATTAGAGCAAGGAGCTGGCCACCGAAAATCCCTGTTCCTGAAGGAAGATGACAGAGGGGAGGGACCAAGGCCCGGGGGTGTCTTTTATTTTTTATTTTTAAGATTTTATTTATTTATTTGACAGAGAGAGAGATCACAAGTAAGCAGACAGGCAGGCAGAGGGAGAGGGAGAAGCAGGCTCCCTGCTGAGCACGGAGCCCGATATGGGGCTCGATTCTGGGACCCTGGGATCATGATCTGAGCCGAAGGCAGACGCTTAACCGACTGAGCCACCCAGGCGTCGCAAAGCGGTTCACTGCTGTGGTGGAAAGAAACCTGAACTTGGAATCAGAAAGCTTGGCTCTCATACTAATTAGTTATCTTTAGCAGGTCACTCAATCTCTTTGTGCCATTGTTAATCTGTAGAAGAGATGTAACAGATTAGTTACAATTAAGGAAAACCATATGTATCCCAGTAATACATAACGATGAGGAAAGTGGGGACTAGGGCAGGAAAGTGAGTGACTTGCAACAAGAGGAGTTCCTTTTACCCGAAATCTTTGTCCTATTTTACACCAGACCTTGTCTGAGAAAAAGGGAACCAGGCATGATTGGGAAAGTGGCAGGTGTAGAACAGAACAATAGAAAAGAGGGGCTTCCGGGCGCCTGGGTGGCTCAGTTGGTTAAGCGACTGCTTTCGGCTCAGGTCATGATCCTGGAGTCCCAGGATCGAGTCCTGCATCGGGCTCCCTGCTCGGCAGGGAGTCTGCTTCTCCCTCTGACCCTCCTCCCTCTCATGCTCTCTCTCATTCTCTCTCTCTCAAATAAATAAATAAAGTCTTTTTTTTAAAAAAAAAAAAGAGGGGCTTCCCCTCTTTCCTATATTACAAAGAGCAATGTGTCAGAGGTGTGTATCATTAGGATTTATTATAATGGCACTAATAAAAGATCCATTTGGGTGCCACATTCCATTCCTCATTGTGTAGTTACTCACTTTGAGGCTTTTTTTAGTTGGACTCCCTTAAAAGAAAAGTACAGTCATTTTCACTGGGACTCCTCTGTGAATTTTCTGCAAATGACCTGAAAGTAGGTTTTAAGGCTTTGAATGCACATGCACATACTAACAAAGTACAATGTAATATCTTGCAGTTCATTTCTTTCAACCAAGTGTTTGTTGAATCGCTGCCATGTGCCTATTACTGTTCTAAGCACTGGGGCTGCAAGAGTGTATAAAGTAAACAAGATCCCTTTGTGCAGTTTACACCCTAATAAGAGGAAAAAGTCCTCGCAGAAAGCAAGCAAACAAAAAATATATGATTTTATGGATTAAAAAAAACAAGCTCTGGAGAGGTTAAGTCACTTGGCTAATTATGGATTGATCTAGATCAGATTTCTTGGTTTTCAATCTTATTTTCTCTATGGTGGGCTTAAAAAGCCTCAAACCAGAGAAGGCTGTAGGGGAATATCTCCATCATCTACCCTGGCAACCTTGCATGTATGTATCTCCATAGGTCTCATGGGCCTTGAACCAAAGCTTCTCTGAGTCTTAGCAGAATGCTTTGTGATCCTCCCAGAACGGCAGAGGATGGAAGGCTTATGAGGATCTTAGGGCAATCTCCCCTGAGTGCTTCTCATTTCCCAGGTTCTGATGAGGTGTGGGCTTTGTGCCCCACGCCCTCAGAATAGAGCTGCAGAATATAAGAATCACTTAGCTGTAGTCCAGAGTGGGCTCCTCGGCAGCTGGGTATCCCACAACTTACACTGCAGTCATCTGGCCCCTTCTGTTTCAATATTCTTTGTTTGGATTTGTGGGACAAGGACCACTGGCAGCTGGGACCTTAATGCATTCTTCCTTTGTTGTATAGGTAAGTAATAAACTGTCTGAATCTGAGGTGGCTCCTTGTATCTTTACTGGCTGACTCAGTCAGGCCTGGGTCTTGCCAAGCTCGTGTGTGTGCTTGCCAAAGCCTAGTTGGCTTTTTGGGGCCCTGTGCTCTAGGAACTCGTTGGGAAAAGGCAAGTTGTCTAGCACACGAGTCTGAATAAATAGCATGGCAGCGTTGACACAGATCTGTGCCTGCCTAACATCACAGTCATGTTCTGGCATAATGGAGGGCAGGCAGGAAGTGTGAGTAAAAGTTAGGGTGGTAAGGTCAAGGGAGAACCATTCCTAGGGAAATCGGGGCTGAATCCGGAAGCCATGCCTGTTTGAGGCAATCAGGTCCTTGTCTGGGTCTGGGCTTATGTTTTAGAGACCCCGACAGTTTTCTACACTGGGCGTCAGCAGAGACCAACCCACCAGTCCTTCTGTGTGTAACACTCCATGATCTTCGAGCAGTGGTACTTTTCCTCTGGTACTCATGGGTAAGAGCATGCACTCCTGGAATCAGCCAGATGTGGGTTCACATCCTGGCTCCTCTCCTTACTGACAGTGATATTGGGCTTTCCTAAGCTTGATTTCTCTCATCTGTAAAATGAGTTCGGTAACATCACTGAAATGAATGAATGAAATATATAATGCATCTAAAGTGCTTAGCAATGCCTGGTGCACATTAAGCATTCCATTTATTAATTATATTCATAAATGGTGGTGATGATGATAAAGATAACAGAAACTTTTCCTCTGAGGAGGTAGGAAAGGAAAGAAGAGGTAGCAAAGGTAAACATGAGCCCTGGATGTGTCCCAGAGATCTACTATTGAGGCTGGGACCATATCCCCAGGAAAGACCATCCTGGCTCTGTCCCTCAGCCCTCTGATTTTGTTTACACACACACACTATATCTATACCTATACTTAAAATCAAAGAATCACGGAATCAACAAATTGGGAGTGATTTTGGAGATGATTAAGCCTAATTCTTTTATTTCACAGAAAGAAAAACAAGACCCAGAGAGGGAGTGTGACTTGGCCAAAGTCACACAGTTACTTATTAGCAACTCTCACATGGATCTTCCAAAATCAATTGACCACATGTGTTAATCTTTTCCTAGGTTTAGAGCATGGCCCAGACCACAGGACGAGAAAATTCTGGGAACTCTGGCTTCCCAGAGGGGCATGCCCAAGCCTTGCTAGGTAACGCTATCTGTACCACCTCCAGGCAACAATAAGCATCATTCTTCCCAATTTGAACACAACATTCTAACATCATTACAGAAAGATCCATCCACTTTTTCTTTGTTTTGTATACATATTTTATATAGGTAGCAGGATCAATGTTTTCAAGCCACATACAGATTTGTACTACATTTAATTTCCTTAGTTTTTCCATAATTCAACTCAACCTGTATTTATATGACCCATTTCACCTCATAGTAAAAAATGTAATCTTGATTAATTCCAGGCACACCCAGTCATTCAACTCAGCATCCCTCCTGGTGAAGGGGATAATGGCCAGTCCCGGTTCTATACCAGGATCTCCTATGATGTCCTTCGTCCCAGCTGTACTGGTCTGAAGAGTGTCCTCCCCAAATCCATGTCCATCCAGAGCCTAATAATGTCACCTTACTTGGAAATTGGGTCTTTGCAGATGTTATTAGTTAAAGTAAGATCTAACGAGTAGAGTGGGTCCCAAATCCACTGACTGATGTCCTTATAAGAAGGCCATATGAGGAGCGCCTAGGTGGCTCAGGAGGTGGAGCATCTGCCTTTGGCTCAGGTCGTGATCCCGGGGTCCTGGGATCGAGCCCTGCATTGGGCTCCCTGTTCAGTAGAGAGCCTGCTTCTCCCTCTCCCTCTGCTGTTCTCCCTGCTTGTGCTCTCTCTCTCTCTCTAGTAAATAAAATCTTAAAAAAAAAAAGGCCATATGAGCCCAGAGAAGGCCTCATAACCCCAGAGAAGGTCATGCAACAATAGAGGTAGAGATTGGCATGAACCCCTATAAGCCAAAGAGCATCAAGGATTGCCAGCAACCAACAAGTTGAATTCTTGCCTAGAAACTTCAGGGGAGCATGGTCCTGCCAGCATCTTGATTTTGGACTTGTAGCCTCCAGAACTGTAAGAGAATAGATTTCTGTTGTTTTAAGCCCTCTGCCCTCCCCCTCCCATTTGTGATATTTTGTTATGGCTGCACTAGGAAATGAACATGCCAGCTAATCTTCAGGTATGACCTCCCACCCCACCCCCGCCATCATGAGTTACCCGATGAGATCTGTTATCTGTCAGTCTCTAGTTGACAGTCCACACTCTTCTGTTCCTTTCTGCCCCAATTGTTAGTCCTTCTTACATACTCTCCTGTACCTTTACCCACACCCACATCCAGGAAGCCTTGGGCCCTCTTGCTAATATTCAACCTTTATCTCCACTAGGTTTCGGTGCTTCTCAAGGGTCTTGCACTAATGCCTGGTCATGAGCACAGGGC